GGGGACCCTAGTCTCGGAGTCTAAGATAAAGTATAGTAGTAGCTGTGGCCTTAGGTGTTAGGCACACAGCAAACCCTAAATGCTGTATATATACTCTAAGCTACCCCCTTAGTACGTATATATAGCTATAGAAACATAATAGCTATATAGCTAGTAAAGTAAATAGAGGGGTATTAGGTAGATACTAGTTATTACGCGAGGGACGAATTAGTAGGTCTATAATAGTATAGTATTATAGAAGTATCTACGGTGCTATAGAAGTATATACTAGGCCGGCGTCCCGTACCTACCGTAATAGTATCTCCGTCCGATAGAACGAAGGCTAGTATACTAGGATAGCCGAGCTCCTTCTTATATACTCCTTCTACTTTCTCCCGTCTTCCTTAGTACCTCGAGACGGAAGCGGCTATCCTAGCTAGAGATATCTATCTACGAGCTATAAACCTAATTAAACTTATAGACTTGCGTATTTACTATAGTATATTCGAGGAGCCGCCGTAGATTATTTTCAGGTACCTAGGGCAATAGTCTAAGGCATCTAGAGCTAGGCTGTTCTTACTACTCTATAGCTGTTCCAGGGCCTGTGCTAAGCGACGTTATATGCTAGTCCGTATACGGTCTGAGTGTATTCTGTGTTTTCTCGAGAATCCGTATGGCTACCCATCTCCAACCCTGGCACAGCAGGAAGTCTTCATTCCGTTAACCGAGACCTGCGAGTCTCAATCATGACGGCTATGTTCGGTCTCGTTTCCATGCTTCTTTCGTCTTCCTTGGGCTCGAGATATATGAGATGTGGTCGACGAGTGTTCTTGATCCTGTTCTCGCGACAACATCTCCTCGACTCCTCAACGATGACCCGGTTGGATCAAAGACAGCCTCGCTAACTTGCAGAAGTCGAAAAGCGCAGCCTTTGTCATTACAGTGAACAAGCACATCGGGTAAATCTGGCGCCTTCTGCGAATCGTCCTCCAAACCAGCCACGACGCGACCCGAGTGAAAGAAGATGAACACGACATAGGGCTCAAAAGGAGGAACATGCTTCACAGCACGAGAACATGATCTATTTCCACGCTATGATAATGCCCAAAGACGGGATTCGGAAGCGCCGCAGATGCGTCAGACCAGCTGCTGAGCAAAGCGACTTGCGCGGAAGAACTGTATGCATCTACTTAGGGAGACCGATCAATGGTGTTCACATACCATCTGCTGAGCACGTCCTGCAGACACCTGAAAGCCAGCCTGTGCCTCTTGGCCTACTGTCTTCTCCGCGTTTCTGGTGCCTCCAGGAGTCGGAGGCTGGAGTCTGGACAAACAGCGAACGCCGCAAAGCGCCACAAATACCATACCATACTCAGCACCAATATTGAACACGTTCTCGGCGTTCAAACCCTCCTTGTCCTAGCCACGCGCCGGCGAATATGTTTCTCAAGCTACGTCTCAGCATGCTGTTTTTTGCTTGAGATTTGGGTCTAGCCTCGCGCCACAAAAGCATACTTTCAACGCGTGTTCCAGGCCTAACAGGCCACGTGCAAAATAGCAAAAAGTATGCTGACGCCTTCACGGTGATGCCATTAGTCGAGTCTGCTTTGAGTCAGTCGAGATCATTATTGCATTGCCAGTTGTGGCCGAGCAGACGCCTTGGCGATGGGGTTACAAGACTCTCAGTGTTCTCGTGAGAGAAGGAGGAGGAGATTTGACCTTTTCCACCATTTTCAAATCCCACCATGCTCGGAACACTTTTGCTTGCCACCTTCTTAGGTGCTGGCCTTTCTCAGGCCAAGGCTCTGAATGAGCGTGCTAGTGCCCAATCGTACTGCTCCTCGAATGGTAAATGCTCTTCATCGAGACAGTTGGCCCAAGCGACCGCATACTGCGTTTCTGCATTGTGTGAGTCTTCCACAAACGCAATAACACAGATACATCGCTAAGATGAGACAAGCAATCCCGAGAGTGACCAAGACTCGAACTCAGACGAAATGTGCCACAACGACGAGCACAATTTTGTCATATACAAGCACAATTACCAATCCAGCGTGTACAGTGACTTCCACAATCTGCAATTGTGCCGAGCCTACGGGTCCGCCGCTCCAAAAACGAGCCCAGCAACAGGCGACAGTATCAAAGCCACCGTGCTTCTCGGCACTAACCAAAGCGAGTGCAATCTCATCTGCATGTAGCTGTCTTTCGATAAAGAATGGAGGCACCACAACGACTTGCACAACTACCACGACGACCAAGACCGTGAAAGTCACCAAGAAGGTCTGATAGTTCTTTGAAGTTTTCAGGCAAACATGCTGATTGAAGGCCCACAGACGGACACGACTGTGAACGCGACACCGACAACAACCTACGTCTTCGCTGCGCCCAGCCTCAGCGTGGTCAACGAAGACGGCAACCTTTGGTCGTATCAGGGAGGTTGCGAAAAGGACCAGGAGAGCGGCTGTGGTGGAATCGGGTTCACTTCTGATACGACTTGGGAACCACTTCTTGTCGCTCTGAACTCAGCAGGCCAACTTCAGACGGTCCAGCAAGGCGAGGTGACGGACACTTATGTCACTGAGGTCAATTCCAATGTGCAAAACGTCGACAATCCGTACGAAGTCCTGTACAGCAGTGGGATCAATGACGACTACCAGCCCCTCACCTGCAGTGTCAGCCAGGCAGCCGACGGGACCTGCCCTCTGACTTGTCAAGTGAGAAATGGGGATGTGAATCAAGGATCAACTGATCAGACAACGCCCTGGTATCTCGGTCCCCCAGGAGCAGTCAGTGCAAATACATACAAGACTTACGCGGTGACAAGAGGGAACTCCTGCCAGAGAGGAACAGGAAGGAAGTTTAGGGGACGAATATGAACGGGAGTCCTTTCCCGAGAAAGCGGACGTATGCTGAGCAGCTGACGCTCAACATCATGGACCATCACCGAAACACGCAGCGGTGCGAATGCGAATCTATGTTCTGCTGGCGGTCTCAAGATTCCAATGACCGTTTCACCTCGGTTGCACAAAGATGATCTGCCGTTTTTTTTTTCTCTACGCCAAAGTATGCTTGTTCCAAATGCTACAGTACCACCTTAGCGGCTTCAGTCCATGATGTAAAGATCTTGCCAGGTCCGAGGATGGAAGCGAGGTCGTTTACAATCTGCAATGGTTGCATTGTGCAAGTGCTTGACTGGGATCTTTGCAGCTCAGCCATTGAGCACAACTGACCCAGTCGAAATTCTCAGGCACAGCCTGCAATAATGATGCCGTTCAGACCGCGATCCACTCCGGCAGATATTGTCAGCAATAGTATCCATCGAAAGCTCTCCACGTGCGAGTAAGATCTGACTATATGTGAGATCCATGCCATCCGTGCCCTGGCAATCACCTCTTTATCGGCGTCATTGATCTTACAGATTCGGCATCTTGTCCTCTTCAACTTCCTTGGCCGACGCCGACCATCACTCATCGTGCTGGCAAAATACGAGTCTCGATGCATCGCCTTGCCCCACCATGCTGGCGTGGGAAACGATATAAGAAGCGACAGTCGTCCCATTCCGTCTGACACCGGTTGCAGAGATCAGATAAGTTTGGAGAGAACTTTCCAACAACAATATGCATTTCACATCTTTCCTGTCAACCACATTCCTCGTCACAAGGGCCGTAGTAGCACAAGACCTGGTCAGCGTCTTAGAATCTCAACCGGACCTGAGCACTTTACTCGGCGCTCTCGAGTTAATCCCAGATGTTACCGCAGCAGTCGCAGCAGCCTGTGACATCACCATCTTAGCCCCAACAAACGACGCATTCGCCTGCATTGCACCAGACTCGGACGTTGGAAAAGCTCTAGCCGCAGGAGATACAGAAGCCATCACTGCTCTGATTTCTTACCACGTTCTCAACGGAACTTACAAATCTACCGACTTTGCAGCAACGCCTACATTTGTCCACACTCTCCTCACACCATCAATTTCCATCGCAGGAGAGGCTGTGACCAATGTGACAGGCGGTCAAAATGTAGAATTGATTCTCAACGGGACTTCAGCTGAGATTATTTCCGGGGGTGGGGCTGTTTCCACAGTCACTGAAGCAGTAAGCATACATAACCTACATATATACATACATTCCTCCTTTCCGATCTATCTACTGACGACTCGCTACAGGACATCCAAGTCGGCCGTACAACAATCCACAAAATCGACCACGTCCTCACAATCCCTTCCAAAGCATCCGTCACGGCCCAAAACGCAGGTAAGATACATACACCCCGACAGTCAAATCAGGACTCCAGATCCAAAAAATAAAAGACGAAAAAAAAAACCTAACAAAATATCCCATCCAAACAGGTCTCACCTCAGCCGTCGAAGCCCTCACCAAAGCCTCCCTAGCCCCAACACTCGACACAGTAGCCGACCTCACAATCTTCGTGCCCACCAACGAAGCATTCAAATCCGTACCTTCAGACATCGATCTCAAGACCTTGACAACAGTCCTCACATACCACGCCGTGGCAGGAAGTGTATTGTTCTCGACGAGTTTGTCGAATACTTCGGTGACGACTTTGCAAGGAGGGGACATCATGGTGACGGTGAGTGACGCTGGGGTGATGGTGAATCGGGCGAAGGTTGTGATTGCGGATGTTTTGATTGCGAATGGGGTGGTGCATGTTATTGATCGGGTGCTTGTGCCGCCGGCTGTGTATGCGAGGCGGTGGGTTGGTTGATGGAGGCCGGTTACCTTCGTGGAATTGTGTCCAGGGATCTGTCTGAACGCGTGTCAGATGCGGTACTGCTGATCACGTTCCTTGGTCTTAATAATATGAATGGAGACGATCGGGTTCCATATCAAACTTTGCTTGTCCCGATGCTGTCATGTCAAGGATTTATGATAAAAGTTCTTTGGGTCTTCTGATTAAGAATATATATATTTTTTTCATGGCGCATACACTCATTACTGATTGATGTACGGTGTCCCATCTTCTACCATCTCCCGGCATCCGTCGTCCTGTTTACTGATTCTTGGCCCTCTTTCGCTTTACAACTGTACTCAAGTCCACAATTGGAAGTGATGGAAGTGGCAGCTCCATCACAGGGATCATAATTGCCAACAACAGATACCATCCAAACATCGCTGCGGCCCAGAAACATGCACCGGTCGCGACTAAGAATTCTTGTCCAAGGACCATGTTTCCGTTGGCAACGTTCCAGAAAGAGCCGGAGGCGAAGCCGAAGCCCATTGTAGCTGCCACGAAAATGAGGAAGAAGACCAGATTCGTTCGGGTGGAGCAGAGAAGGAAGATGAAGGATAGGATACAGAGCGACAATGGGTAGAATCCTGAAGATACAATGTTAGCGTGGGTTGGTGTAGCGGAATGGCGAGTGCCGATTACCATAGCTCGCTGCAAATTGAGCCGACAGCATTTGGTTCTCGCCCGCCTGTCCAAGGTATGGGGTGCCATCAGTGTATGCTGAGACCGCGTTGAAGAATGGGATGAAGGTTGTCGCAAAGGTCAAGAAATGTGCCCCGTAGCCCATGAAGACGATGAAGGGGAAGGTGTTGCCCAGAAGGAACTCTCCAATACCGGCGAAGAGCAAGAGTACGCCGCCAAACCAGATTGATGCACCGACAGTCGCTTGCCCGGACGCACCGCTTCCTCTCCATCCCATCAGCTCTGCGGCAAGCGGCGTCAGACCTGTGGAAAAGCCCATTACGGCAAGCGGAGTGGGATTGGCCTGAGAAACGACGCGTGGTTCAGCAACGGCGATGGACGGAAGATGCGCTGCTGGCACTTACGAAGGTCTTGCGGAGATTGCCAGCGACATCAGCATTGCGTGGAGACAAGAATAGGCGCTCGAACTGCTCATCAGAGATGGTGGTGTTGGTGAGCATCTGCCTCAACTCATTCGTATTCTATGGGAGCCCTGTTTCTCCAAAGAAGACGCATTGGCGCCATGGGCATAGTCCTTGCGGGAGCCGCTCTCGAGGTCTTGAGGGCCCGCAGACATGATGGCACTGCGTGGAATGGGCGGAGAAGGAGGAGTGATTCACGCAGACGGGAGGGAGGACATCGCGAGAAGGAGAGCTACACGGTCTTCTACCATTATATAACCGTGTCCGGCAAATGCGCCAAATCTTTCGTATACGGCGTGGTACACAAGGTTCGTTTCCGCACGCCGTCTCGGTCAACAAGACGATGCCAATAATCAAGAGAGGCTTGAGTTGACGGAAGCTATCAAGCTCTGGATGAAGATCATCACAGAAATCTGGCCGAGGCTGGTCCTCGTCCCGGAGCGCCCTCGTTCTCCATCATGTCTTTCTACCACGAATCTCGCTCAGTGATGCCGGTCAGAGGTAGGAGAGGAAGCACGTTCTTCAGACAAAGTGTCGTGACCAAGACCGAAATTCATAAATCATCAACTGCAAGTAAAATGCACGAGCCAGTCCTCCCACCCCCTCCCTTCCAAACTTCCCACTCGTCACAGACGACTCTTCTCCCCATACTCGACCACAAAACTAAACCGATCATCCCAATGCATAGCCCAATACCCATCCCAAATCCTCTTCGTCAAACGCCCCACCCTGCCATCCCCAACCGAACTCCCATCCAGCTTCGTGACCGGCATCACACCACCCGCAGTCGTAACCGTGAAAATCTCATCGGCCTGGTACGCAAGCTCCGTCGGCACGACCTCCATCCGCACCGGAATCCCCTCTTGCGCACACACATCAAACACAGATTTCCTCGTGACGCCTTCCAGAACGCCGCGGTCAGGCGTGTACAGCGTGCCGTCCTTGATGACACAGATGTTGAAGCCGGAGCCTTCGGTCAGGTTTCCGTCTCCGTCGGTCAACAACGGGTAGTCGGCCCCGCGATCGCCGGCCTCCATGATCCCTCGCGTAAAGTCTCCCCATTGAAGGTTTTTGACCGTAGGGTCGAAAGCTCCGGGTGGGATGCGACGCACCGTTCGAGCAATGATCGCCGAGCCCGTGCCTGAGAGTTGCATGTGGGGAGACATGACCCAGATGTAAGGACAGATCCAGATGTAGAGGTGATTGGGGATGGCTTCGGGTTTGGGACCGGAGGTGGAGATTCGTTGGATGCCTCGAGTGATGATGAGTTCTACGAATGCGTCCTTGATGCCTGAGAGTTTGAGCATGTCCAACAGGACTTTTTTGACTTGCTCCCGAGGGATGGGGAAGCGGAAGCGCATCTTCTTGCAGGACATTGTCATGCGGTCGAGGTGGTCGTCGAGGCGGAAGAAACGTCCGTCCCAGACTGAGGGCACGTCGTAGGTTAGGTCTGAGTGGAGGAAGCCTTGGTCCATCAATGGCACTTTGGCTTCAGCGAGAGGTACGATATCGCCTCGGGTATATGCTATGCCTCGAGCGTAAGGGTTGGAACTGTATGTCAGTTCCAAAGATGTTTGGCGACGATTGTAATCGTCAAAGATCTTTTTCATCGTCGTCATCTTGGTGAACTGTGTCGTTGGTTCGGCTTCAGTTGATGAGGGACAGGCAGAGACGGACGATGATGCTAACGGCGAGATCTTATTAACGACCATGACATGAGGTCTTGATATACTGTCTCCAACAAGCTCAGCTATCCTGTACTCGGCATCTGTAACCTGCAGCAGGGCTCGTGGAGGATCTGCCAAGCCCGAGGAATTTCCTACCTAGTTCAAGGGCAAGATTCAAAGCTTCTTGTGCCGTGAACTTGCCCAAAGCAGTAGTTTGTCGTATCCAAGTAGGGCCGATATGGGTTGCCCGTCTGCCACGTTGTTTGACCTCGTGGCTATCACTTCAGCCTCATAAGAGAATGCCGGTTTTGTCGGTTCTGAATGCGGTAGGTATGGGACGGATCCCAAAAGTCGTCGAGCACGACGTGTTATAGTTCTAACTTTAGGTGAGCCGAATGGTGCACTGCAACTCGTCCCAACAAAACAAGAGTGGGATTGCCCTCATAATCCATGGCATGCTTGAAGTCTGCTTTAGTTCAATGTAACTGTGGCAAAGCTTCTGTGCTGTGAGGTGTTCCATGGACAGCCTGCGTTTCGACGTCGAGTCGTCGACGTTGTAGAATAAAGCCAGCACAAGGCTTCCAAAGTCATGCATGGCGATTGCTGGGACGGGAGCGTACCCCTTCATCGAAATGTCCGGTATCTGCGTGTGCCCGTTTACACACACACGGCTTTGTCGATGCCTCCAGACATGTTCGCTTGCCAGTAAAACTCTTCACATATGTCAAATTTCGGATTCATCGAACTTGGGCATATGGGTCGAAATAGTTATGGCGGGTTGGTAGTCAGTCGACACGGAGTCGACACCTTGTGGAAATGCTTTTTGGTGACGACATGCACCACTGCTGATTATTCGCGCGTGTGTAGTCGAAGGTGTATTGACGCCTCAGAACCAAGAAGGTTCCAGGCTCACACAATTCGATATTGAGATGATCCTACCAGCTTCAACGAAGTTTACAAAGTCAGAGTCCGGTAGTTTGCCGTAGAGATGCCATGCTGGAGGTGGGTGATTTACGTTGAATTTTGGCCTTCAAAGTGCGTAGCATTGCAAACACAGCGGATCTTGCCAACATACCGCCAAAAAAGATGACAACGTTCCCAAAGTGTGCTCGAACATTTTTAGAGACAACGTTGTGCGAGTATGAATTACCACGAGGTTTTGCGATCCTGCCCTTGCGTCTCCTGGCTCCAGATGTGCTATGATTCTTTTGTCGTGTTGCAAGCCGTCCGTTACCTCGCGACTGTTTGTTCAGACGACTCCTGACAGTTCTCGTCGAGCTCCTCAATCCTGGAAGACACACGGTCCAGATCCATTGTAATTTGGACAGGAACCGGTATCGAGAAGAGCATGGAGAGGTTTCGGGGCCCATTCGGTGCATATTGGCTTTCGACGACGTTGTGTACCAGTAAGCGTGGCTTACTAGGTAGCCACCTCAGCGCATGCTCGTGCTGCAGCCCTCGGATCAGTGGAGCGCAGGGGGCATCGAAACCCAACGTTTCATGGCTGGACATCTCTCCCAGAGTTGAACAGACGCGCCAAAGGGCCTGGCATGAAAAGGATGGTGTGATTATGACTGCTGCCGTAAGCGCTGAGATCTATACAATGCCATGCCATGCCATCCCTCATTAAGCCTTAAATCGGCCTTCGAACCCAGGTCTGCCCTTCTTCTTTCCTTTCGCTCCACCACTTGAGCCACCCTTCTTCTTGCCCTTCTGGCCCTTCTCATCTCGTCTCTTCTGCAGATTTGTCTCGCGCTTTTTCTGCTTAGCCTCTCGAGCTTTTGTAATGTTCTCCTCTCTTTCCTTCCATTCCCTTTCAGATTTGTTCTTCTGCTTCTCCTTCCGCTTCAAAGCCTTCTTCAGCAAGCTTGTGTCATCACGTACCCTCTCACCATGCGCTCGCTTCTTGGCGTGCAGCCACATATCCTTCTCTTCAATGTCGGCCTTCTTGCCTGCATCGAGTCCACTGATTCGCGCTTGCTTCTTCTGAGCAGCCAAGAGCGCAGTCTTTGGATCTTGTGGTCCCTTCTTCTTCTTGGCGTCATTAAGTGTGCTCAGGGAGGCATCCGCCGCAGTGCCATCCTCGAAAGCCAGTCTGGAGAATGCAAAGCTGTTTTCCGATGGTCTCGGGCTGTCTCTGCGCTCAAAAATGGCTGTGGCGGGACTGCCAGAACCGCGAAGCTGTTCCTCTCGCCTTCGCTCTTCTGCCTCTTTGGCTTCCCTCCTCAGCTCTTTCTTGTGCGCCTTTCTTTGCTCCTCTTTCTTTCGTCTCTGGTCAAGGAGCTCTTGCCGAGATTTTGCCGGCTTGCCGTCTGGACCGTCAGCCTTGCGCTTGGCACGCAGCTCTTCTATTCGCTTTCGGAGTCTCTCTTGCAGCAGTGCTTGATCGACGTTTGGTAACTGTAGTTTGGGTGATGATATGCCGCTGGGAATTTCCGCACTCGGCGCGGTAGCTGCATCGAATTTGGGTAGAGGTATCTGCTTGGGCTTCTGCTGCGGCTTGACATCGAGCTGTGGCTTCTTTCGCAGCATCGACGCAGCTTGATCTGACTTCTCTTCGACAGAGGGGGGTGTTATGGAGGATGATGAGGATGCTTCGGAATGATTAGTGGCAACGTCGAATGCAGGACTGTTGACAGCCGGACTTGTGGGTACTGATGATGCTTCCGCCACTTCTTCATCGTCGGCCGGGTCCTCGTCCTGCTCGTCTTCCGATGCAGCAAGACCTGAAAAATCGACCTTGTCCAAATGCGGAGCGTCGGTTGCCTCTGCATCCTCGTCCTCGTCCTCGTCCTCGCCATCACCTTCACTCTCCTCATCAGCCCCGCCATCCGCCTGCTGCTTTCCGGCCTGAGCTTCGGCAAGATGTGCATCCGCCTTTTTCGCCTTTTTCGCCTCTTGCTTTGCCTTCTTCGCCGCGGTTTTCTCCTTCTTACGCTCGCGCTTCTCTTTCCGTTTTTCTGCTACCGCCTTCTTCTTGGCTTCAACATCCCCAGCGCTTGCTTCCTTCTTTTGCTTTTTGTTGCTCACCTGTTCGGCCTCTGCCCGGACCTCTGCATCATCGTCGTCCTCCCCCTGCTCCACGCCTAACTCACGTTTCCGCTTCAGCTCGCGCTCCTTCATCACGTCCAGGGCAGACTTTTGGTTGGCAGGATCTAGCTTGGCCTTTTTAGCCGCTCGCTTTTGTTCCTTGGTTTGCTTCTTGCGATTCCATTGTTCGCTTGGATCAAGACCATCGTCTATCTGGCTGCCGTAGTATTCTCGTGCTGGGGTGAGCGCAAGCAACGACTCAAAGGCTTTTGTGTGGCTCTGCAGGCGTTCCTAAATCATGACATGTTAGACTCTTGCACGCGCGTTTGGAATGTGGGCCGCATTACTTCAAGGCCGTCGAGAGGATCTTCGGATTGCGCCATTGTACTCGGGACTTCCTCGCGGGCGCGGCGCGTGAGATGTCGCTGGCGTCGGTCGAGGTGCAGAGGGCGTTTCTTCTCTTGACCGCAGAATTGGAAAGACAGCCAAGATTTTGAGATCCGCTTGTGGGGTTCGGCTGTCGGCGTGTCGGCATGCCGGCAAGCGTGCAGGGATGTGGACGATGCTCAGTATTCACTCGTCGGTCACACTAGTCGCATGTGAGAGCTCAGCATAGTGTGACCGACTTTTGTGCTCCATATCAGAAGCTCCAGGGTGCCCGGTGGTGTTCGTCCTGCGCTGTTCTGCCCTGACAGCGCATGCTGTGCTGTGCTGTACTGAGCAAGGCGCCGGCATCCTTGTTGATCTTGGTCCAATGCTTACGACCAGCGCTCCGCTCCGCCACCACCTTAGGTCCACCTAGCCTACCTAGCCTTCTACCTACGCAATCCTGCTACAGTATTTGCCTGTGATGCTCTACAAAGTGGCGTGCAGCTTCAGTGGCGTCATATGCAAGTACGCTCACGCTGTGGTGGAAAAAGCAGTTGCGTTCGAATCGCCCGCGAGCGGCTGCCTAGCCTAGCTGCAAGATCGCAGACCGTATCGTCGTCGTCGAGGTGCGGCGCGGCCCTGAACGGCAACATCATCAATCCGGCCACGGGCATGGCGTACGAGACAGAGCCGAGCATCGTAGAGGCAACATCACTCTCCACCATCCAGCACATCGCCACCAATCCTCCAGCACATCCGAAGGCGCCTACCGATGTGCCACGGCTGCCTTTGGTCTTGTATATTGCCCGCGTTCCGGGCAGTCGGGATGTCTTCTTGACGCCGATAAAACCGCGCGAGAAAGTTGTCACGGCCGAGGATGTCCAGAGCTCGCTTTACTTCATCCATGTCCACGACGCTGCAGACGATGAAGAGCCCGGCCATCGGCCATCGTCAGTCGACACAAATGCTTCTCGTCTGATTCCTGTGCCTGAAGGCCCCATCAAACGAAAGCCGACTCTGCCTAGGAGGCCTGTGCAGCCGAATCCGCCTCCATATCCTCTTGACGATGGTCCTCCAAATGTATCACTGCTTCCTCTCGCTCCGCCCAAGCACGGAAGACTCGGCCGCGTATTGCGCAAGCCCGTTGCATCTGGCACTTCGTCTGCACACATCACTCCAACAGACTTGCCAGTCTTGCCCCGTCGGCCACTGCCTACACCTCCTCAGGACGAGCAGCCATTGGAACAGTCTCTGCATGCGCATAACAAGAATCTTCTCCGCCGAGCAGAACATAGCGATGAGAATAATCCGTACCTTCGCGAGTATGAGCCACTGCCACCACCAATCGATTCCGCCCATCTGCCCGAACCTGGAAGTCTCACCTTGATAAGACGCAATCCAGCCTCGAGCGAACAATGGAATGTGGCTTCAATACACGATCCACCGGTCCAAGAAATCTCTTCAGCCGCACTTCGTAATCCGACTGCTGCTCAGAGAACCAAACGAGGAGGAGCACCCCTATATCTTGACATTTCAAATCCAGGCTACACGCAATTCATCCAGCACGAAAGGACACAATCACGCCAGAGCTCAGACACGACCAGTTCGAACAGCAGCGATCCGCCACCAGATGGAGTGTTTCGGAGACGCTTGTACATGCCAGGCTCACAGTATGGCGAGCATTTGTACAATAAAAGCCGCAGATCTAGTTCTGTCACTACTTTCAGCGCACCAATGGACGAGGCGTCTATGCGACATTCAATGCGATATTCAGTCGATATGGGCTCGTCTACCTCTTCTGCACCGTATGCAGACAGGCGCAGCAAAGGCTATACCTTCAACAGTCCCTGGGACGGCCGCTGTGAGTTCTCTACCGGAGCGACAGGCAAAAGTCTCCGATGCAAGCACTATCCACCCCGCACGCCAGGTCAATCGATAGAAGTCAGCGAGCTGAGGTTCAATCTACCCACCAGTTCCAGCAAGGCTGCAAATGCACCATTGACCGACAAACGATCCTCGTACATGAGCGGTCTACATCGCCGACTCCATTCATCCAGCGAAGATGGCAGCGTCGATTTCGTGTTTGATGATGACGGAAATTTGGACCTAACACTAGGACGAGAGAAGGCTGGAGGAGGATTCGGAGGCAAACAAGCAAAACTCGGGAAGCTGATCATACAGCCTGAAGGACTCGCCATGCTGGACTTGCTCGTTGCTGCCAATGTTGGCCTGTGGTGGAGGGCATGGGGAAGATGATTTGTTATGAGACAGCAAAATGTTTATGACGTATAGGTACGAAATACAATAATCCTCTTCAAGCTTTATGCTAAAAATAGGCATGTCATAACTGCAGCCTCAGCTCATGTTATGCATTTCTTCGCTCGCAACGCCGCACCATGAACCAGACTTCGATAATACAAGTACCCGTAACAAAGTAGCGGTTCTAAGTGGAAAAGAGACAGGTTCATATACAGTCAACTCCATTCTCAGGTCCCTTCGTAGGATCTACAGAACCACAATTAAGCCCTTCGAGGCCTCTTTAGCGCCGAAGCAACAAGCCAAAATCGTAGCAAATAGCGTTTTGGGGTTTAAAAGAGATAGGTTTACATACAGTCGACTCTATTCTCAGGTCCCTTCGTGGGACCTACAGAAACTACAATTACGCCCTTCGAGGCCTCTTCCGCGCCGAAGCAACAAGCCAAAATCGTAGCAAAGCAGCGGTTTAGGGTGCAAAAGAGACAGGTTCACATACAGTCAACTCGATTCTTAGGCCCCCTTGTGGGACCCACGGAAACTACAATCACGCCCTTCGAGCCCTCTTCCGCGCCGAAACACATCTCATCATTCAAAGCGGACTCTTCTCCCCAACCACAAAATCATACATCCCCTTAACCCTAACCAACGCCTCACTCGCCTTCTCCACCCCCTTCGCACCAACATGGTCATCGAAACCCCTCAACGTCAGCACGCATTCCGCCAGGACTCCCATCAACCCCGTCATGCGAACATCCGCTCTCCGATCGAAAATACAAGCCTTGTCCTCAATCCCAAACTTGAGCGTTTGGAACACCAATCGGCCCAGGGAAATCAGACTGGTCAAATTCAGCGCTTCGGATTTCTTGATTTCCATCCCGAATGCTGTGGGCGAGGTTGCGAGTAAGGTGGAGGCGTAGCGCGTTCGAGATTGATGCGAGGTGGAGGGTTTTGCGAAATGTGATGTCAGGTTCAGGGAGAGGGTGGCGAGAGGGCGGATGGTGGGCCAGTGGGCGAGGAGGTTGGCGGAAATTTCTGGAGAGGGAGAGGAGCGCGCATTGAGGATGTTGGTTTCGGGGGAGAGGTTGGTGCGCAAGGTGTAGATCTTTGGGATTTTGGTGAGTGGGTACAGCAAGATTTCCCATGCGCGGGAGAGGTTTGGGTTCTGGAGTTCGGTGGCGTGAATGTTGATATCGAGGGTGGAGACGCGGCCGGAGATTTTTGTGCTTGATGTGTTGCCGTGGCTGTTCATGAGGTATGACACGAGTGAGTAGAGGCAGCGGTTTGCGGGGCTGAGATCGCTCGCAAACCAGGTCGAGTTGCTGGTGTCGACGTTATTGGCGCTGTCGTCGAAATGGATCTCGAGTTTGATGTGTGGGATTTGGCTGAGGTATACGGGCCAGAGAGCGGAGTATTTACTGATCGGGTCGTCGAATTCTAGCGCTGAGGTTGAGTCGTTGACGAGGGGGACTTTGTGTCGACTATTGTAAAGATTGTCAACAATGTCGCCTTGAACAACGACGCCGCCCATGTATTTGCTAAAGATCTTTATGGTTGCGACGCTCTCCGAGTAGATGAAACCAGAAGCTTCGCTGTGGATCTGGTGGTTGACTTGCAAGATGGATGGGGAGGCGCGAAGCCCGGCGGCCTTGTTGTGGGTCAGGAGGATCTTGTAGACATCGTTGCGCATCTCGCCTGGCAAGTCGAGGAAGCGGAAGGTTGATGGAGATGGTCCAGAGTTGGAGATTGTGGTGCTCTTGGTCCTACCAGTGCTTGGTGTGCTGTAGGCCTTCGTGCCCTCGATGGTAAGCTTGAAGCTGCCTTTCGCAGCATTCTTGGTATTTAGGCGGAGAGGGGCGATGAATGTGGTTTCAAAACGCATGTTGGCGATTTTATTGGGTAGGTATCGAAGGGTATATGACAGTATGCAAGGATCAAATGGTGGTTGATATCGGGGGAAGTGTTGGTAAGATCTTCGAATTTCCTTTTGGGGAGTGGATGAGGGCAAGTTGTCTAGTCGAAATTCAAGATAGGAATGTCAGTTTCAGAAAGTCTCCATGACCGCAGGGGTCCGGTTCAAATAACAATAGGAGCGGCCACAATAGCCAGATCGAAGTGAAGGAGCGGGAAGGACAAACGGAGAGCAGAGCAGCCAACGGGAGCGCCGGATTTGCGTTCGTCTTTTCACTTACACAGTTCGTCCGCTCCAAAAGTCATCTTATAGGTCTCGCCAAAGCACGTGTTCCGGAATGGCAGTCCCGGCCTCTTGGAGCCATTTTTAGAGCCTATCTTAGTCTGTGCGCGGTGGCAGAGAGCGTGTGAGCGGCGGGATGCTCCTCTGCGACCTCACAGCACTCGACGCCCGCCTACTGAGGCCTCGCGACTCGTTCAGGACACAGCGAATCCTCTCTCCCAGTCTGCTCGCCTGGTCTACCGACTGAATTTCAACCACCAGCACGCGCCTTCTCAGACCACTCTTGTGCTTGCGCCTCAGCCTCCGAGAATGTCTGCTTGCAAAGCTTGAGCAGCGCCTCAACTGCATGCTTGCGGGAATACTTCTTCGGTCCCTCCACGACCACGCCATCGGTGGACAATGCCAGGGAACATGAGTATTCCTTCCACTCAATAGACCTCACTCTACCTTGTGTGTCTCGAAGCAGAGTTCCTTCCTGGTATTCTTGGTCTCGAATAATGAAGTCGGTGCCAGGAGGCAGATCAGTCCGATCGCTAGAACTTTCTTGAAGGCGCATGCTGTTCCTGCTTGGCCGCGATGGTCTTCGTGGTTGGCTCTCAAGATGATGCTGCCATAGTCAAGGCGCCATGACTGCGACTTCTTAGCGAAATCAAAATTTGCAATGGAGCCCCAACACACACCTAGTATCTGCACCTTCATGACTTTAATCTCGGCCTCTAGTTCAGATTTGCCTTCTGGCGCAGGATGATCTTCAGGACGGCCGAGAAGAGGCAACGGTATCGTTGGCGGCATAGCTGTGTTGAATTTCGCGAGTCAGTCGATGAGTGCCGCAGATATCGCGGTATCCGTGGTATTCGTCGCTTAGGTTGGAGGGCATGTCGCAAGCAAAGGCAGATCTGCACTTGGATTTCGCAGTGTCTTCCGGGTGAGCGCGGACGCCTGGCATGTGCCCACGGCAAGTGAGCGTTAGCGTGTGATAATCACAGCGAACCTGGCATGAAGCCTCGCAACGCAGCGGGCGAATAACCAATTCCCGTGGAGTACGGTTCAGCCGTGTGAGGATGAATTTGCTTCTCGATGCAGCGCATGGTCACTTCCGATCGCAGCTTAAATGCTAGCAACCTCTTGACAGAATGATCCGACCACAAGCAAGCATCAAAGATGTATGTACAATGTGACTCGAGGACAAGGAAGCTCAGTGTCTCCAGAATTCTGATTGATTGCCACAAAGGAGGCAAAACTAACACCTGTGCATCATCCACGGCGCACAAAGCTTCAGTCGTGGTCACTCAAAATGGGTTCATGCAGATTGGAATCCTTCACAAAACCACAAGACCCGCTTGCAGGTGCTGGGCTGCTCCATAGGCCGTCCTGTGGGAATCGAAACATTAAGGGGGGACGATCATCGCATCAGACCACCCAGATCTCTCTCCATACCAGTCACTCTCTCCTCAAGAGCTCTCTTCTTGCGCTCCAGCTCTCGAATTTCCGCCTCCTCCGCTTCTAGTTCCTCCTTCGTCACAGGCGTGATGTTCGAAGCAGCGTCCTCGTCAATATCGGCCATCGGATCGTCGTCCGCATCTTGTGAGTAGCTTCTGCTTGTCTTTGCCAACTCCTCTGCTTGCTGCAACACCTTCGCCTCATAATGCCGTATGTTTGCCGTCAATTGTCCATACCGTCGCCTCAGCTGTGCAATACGATCTGCCGTTCCAGGAATAGAATACACAGCTAGCAGTCTCTCTGCCCCCTCAAGCAACACTTCGACATCCATTTCTCCTTTGATTCTGGCATTCGTGCTCTCCTGCCGGGTCCGGTTGTACAAGTCGCCACCAAGGACTGCAGCGACTGCTTTTGACTTGGGCTGTCTAGATGCATAGACTGTCGCTCTCCTCTTGGCAGGTGTCTTGGTTGAGGCAGCAATTGCATCATGGGTTGGGCCGCTAGCGAAATCGGTGGCGCCAGGGTTTCCAGAAAGAGGAGGCGGTGCTAGATGGAAGAGTGCACGCTCGTGGGCTTCTGTATCGCGAATAAGACTCGTGATATCGTGTTGTGAGAGCAAAGCATTCGTAAAGATGTTTGGTCCCGGGAAAGGGAGTTCTGATATTGAGGTCGCACATAGGGAGATTTGCTCCAAATGGGACTGCAAGAGGGAGGCCATGACGTCTCTAATTCAGAGTGAGAAACTGAATCGTCGGAAGCGGTATACTTTCCGGTTGATGTCCAGTGCTGATGTAGTCTGGTAGTATTCGAGGTTTCTATTCTTGCTTGTCCAGGCAATGTTCACATGGCAAATCCAATGACAGTACTAATCTGGTCTCGCGGCCTCAAGTTGGGGCGCGGCTTTTAAGGCCTTTATGCGCAGGTCTTGAGCTCCAACAATGTTTCCGAACAGACGCACCACCTAGGCCCAGCGCACCTGATACAACACCCACGGCGCGCCCGCAGCTTTCACCTGTGACGCCACAGCCGGATGATCTTCGGCTTGGAATGGAAGGCGCATCTCGAGCTTCGAAACGCCTGGCTGGCTGGCACGACCACAACATCAGCCAACACTTGCATCAAACCTCTCCTGACAAAGTTATACCACAGCATGGCAGAGAAGATGGAAGTCGATGCCGTGAATGGCGAGAAACAGGAAGAGAGCGCAGGGCCAGCACCAGATCTGCCGCCGGAGCGCAGTACGTAGACGCAGCCGCCTCACAAACACTGATGACCACCCTGACTGACCATACCGCAGTCATTCAGAACAACCTCACGTTCATAAACCAGGCCGTCGACAACTTCGACTCGCGATTCACGCTGCGCGCACTCCGGAGCATATCGACGCTGCGAAAGGCGCCTACATTTCCCGAAGCCATCGTCCTGGGCATCCGGACAGCATATCCTAACCCATCCAATCGAGGGCGGCAGATATTGGAGGAGCTGTTGCCGGAGGAGCACAGAAAGCAGACGAATGGCACAGCATCGCCAGCAAAGAGCAAGGACGGAGCAGAACAAGATCCGCATCCAGAAGTCTGGTCGTATCTAGGTGTTCTGCTGCAGGTTTATCTATTCGACAACCGCGAGTTCGAGAAGGGTGCAGACTTCAGCGGAAATTTTGTGGAGCGCATCCGCAGCTGGAATCGCCGCACGCTCGACCAGATTGGCGCCAAGGCATACTTCTACTACCAGCTGTTCCACGAGAATCTTCACCCGAAGCCGCCGTCAAAGCAGTCGCACGTCGTTGAGCTTCGCCCGAAGCTGCTTGCTGCTCTAAGGTCTGCTGTCCTCCGAAAGGACAACGATACCCAGGCTGCTGTGACTGTTCTGCTCCTTCGCAACTACATCAGCACCGCCGACATCACCCAAGCCGATCTCCTCGTTGCACAAACACAGTTCCCGACGACCGCGTCAAACAACCAATTTTGCCGCTACTTCTACTACATCGGTCGTATCCGCGCCATCCAGCTCGCCTACACTCAAGCACACGAGCATCTGGAATCCGCTACCCGCAAGTCGCCAACGAATGGTCCCGCTGTCGGCTTCTACCAACAAGCTACCAAGCTCTTGATAGTCGTGGAGCTGTTGATGGGTGACATTCCTGAGCGCAGTCTATTCCGACAGGCGCCTCTTGAAGCTGCTCTATACCCATATCTGAAGCTCGTACAAGCTGTTCGCGTTGGAGACTTGCAAGCATTCTTGAAGTGCGTAAGTCTCAACGAGGCACAGTTCCGCCAGGATGGCACGTACACCCTTATTTTGCGTCTGCGTCAAAACGTCATCAAGACTGGTGTTCGCATGCTCTCACTTTCTTACAGCCGCATCAGTTTACGAGATATCTGCACTCGTCTGGGCGTGGACAGCGAAGAGTCGGCGGAATACATCACGGCAAAGGCGATCAGAGATGGTGTCATCGAAGCATCGCTGGATCACCAGAACGGACACATGGTGACCGTACCGCAGAAGGACGCATACAGCACGACAGAGCCTAGCGATGCCTTCCACGCCCGTATAAGCGCTCTGCTCAACATGAGAGACGAATGCGTCATGGCAATGCGATACCCCATGAACAAGCACAGACAAGAGATCGCAGAAGCTGCCAAGGCGCGTGAGCGAGAGCGAGAGTTGGCCAAGGAGATCATCGAAGGTGAGGGAGATGCAGATGATGGTGACGAGGGCGGCTTTGAAGGTATGTAATGGTCTCCCATGCTACTGATTTATTAGCCGTCATACGGCATGGTGGCTGCACTGCAACAAAAAGCTGTAATATAGACCAATCGATAGAGATGCTACGAGCTCCCAAGCTCGAGAAGTTCGAGTTCAAGCTCCAGTCATGAAAGTGTCGCATCGACTTCTGTTCACAAGGGAACTCTCCAAGAATCTTGATTCTCTCGACTTCCCGCTGGCTTTCTGGAGACTAGCATGGCCTTCAAGGCAAGCTCATGACAATTGTTCGAGCTGCGAGGACTTGATCAAGTCACATATCATGAACCTGTCTATTCATTTTGCGCGACTTGATCCGATTGAATCGATCCTCTCCTCAGTCTAGGCATATAGGTAGCCAAGTCTTACATGGGAATGCAGGTCGTACATGAATGGCCCGTCGGGTTGTTGTCGAGAAGAGAAAAGATCGCACGTTCGAGGAATGACATTGTGAGTCTTGATAGTGCCGAATTGCAGGCGAGCATGTACTTACATTTCACCTGCGAGGATCAAGTTTCAGTTGAGGATTTGAGGTGAATGCATATATTCAGTACTTGTTCGCATTCATCACGAGGGTTTTGTTGTTACATACCAGAACCTCAAACTCGAATTCTTCCTACCAACCATCATCATCCCGTCCCTCCTGTCGTCCCTCATCATAAGCATCATCAACATCATCCCCAAACCTCTCCACATCACCCACCTTCTTCCCCATCCAACCCGCCACCCTCTCCGGAGCATCCTCCACATCATCCACAGCATCATCCCAACGGTTCTCAACCCGATCTCCAAACCTCTCAACCCGTTGCTCAACATCCTGCGGAAAATCTTCCACATCCTGAACTTTCTCTCCCGTCCATCTCGCGGCATCATACGGAGCATCTTCAACTCTCTCCCCAAATCGATCGAAACCCTGTTCCATACGATTTTCAAATCCATCAAATCGTTCTTCAGCACGATATTTGTCCTCTTCGAGATCCTCTTTGACTTCATGACCTTCGTGCATCAGAAAAGCCCCACCGGCCAAACCGGCTGCTACACCTAACGCTCCACCGATCAATCCCTTGTGAGATTTCTTCTCGTGGTGTGGTGCGTCGCCTTGAGGTCCCGTTGGATAACCTCCTCCTTGTCGTTGTTGTTCATACCCACCCGGCCCTCCGGGACCTCCGTATGCGCCTCCCCCGTACCCGCCATCGTAAGCTGCTCCTTGACCTCCATACCCGCGGGGAAACTCGAAGGTACGTTCGCCGTTCTCGGGGTTGATGAAGATGTAGCGGTTTTCTTGAGGGATCCATTCTGCGCGCCAGGGGTAGGGGAGTTGAGGTGGTGGTGGGGGCTGGATGAGAAGGTGTCATGTCAGTTTTGAGGGGATGGAATTACTGAGGTGATGGGATGGAATAATACTTGGTTGCTATATCCACCGCCGTAGCCGCCGCCGCCTTGATTATAGTAGGACATCCTGTCTTGGTTTGCTTGGTGAGTTTGTGGATGGTTGAGCTGTTGTTAGGCAGAGTGTGAGTGAGCAGAATGTTTAGGTCTTGGTGAAGAAGTGAAGAAACGCGAGGAAACCATAAATACTTATCCCACTTCGAAACACGCTGTCAGAACAGTGGTGAGCTGTTGTGCCAGCATGCAGGGCAGCAGCTCGAGCCAACCTGACACAACGGGCCATTGGTTCCAGAACCGGGGCGAAGCTGTCAATACGAGCTATACCGTTGCAAAGCAATGCCAGCGAGCCGGCAATGAGAACTTTCAGCTTACGCCATGGCTATCACGGGGGCTGCGTCAGCAATGGCCGGACATTTTGAGCGATTTATGTACAGGCGGGAGGCTGTGTTGATAAATTCACCAACATCGTCACTAAAACAAGGGAGGAAGGAAAGCATATCGTACTCAAGCCTCGCCAAGAGATGCCAAGCCTTTTGCATATTGCCGAGTACAAGGCTACATGTGTACAAGTTCTCGTTTCAGCAGTCCAACGCGTCGCATTGCTGTCTCATTAATATGACCCATCGAATGCCAGAAAGACAATTGGATGGTAGTCATCAGCCATGAATGTATAGAGTTTTGAGCGCCGAAAAAAACTCTCAGCTCGTTCATGCTTGAGCTGCTCCAACTCTCGCGTTTACCCCTCTCACAGCCTGTGGTGTGTTCTCGAGACTCTTGCCTGAATCTGTACCATTTGTCGTGCTATACGCTCACTGCTAGCCTGTACATCTTCCAAGGACAAGCCTAGGCTTGCAGGCGTCGGGTGTTCATATCTGCTTCGCACGCTGCATTCCAGCAATCTTCTGCTCTCTAAGCGCAGGACACACCGTAGGTAGCGTAGTCAGGATTCCAGAAGGCGCGTTGTTCCGCTTTTTGAAAGCCTTTCAGACCTTTACGATCATAATTTGGCCCTCTCCAGCACCGTGTTGAGGCGTCGCAGCACAACCCTGTTTGGATTGACATTGCCACAGCAGGTGCGGCCTATTCAACGCTGGACGGGTCATCTGTTCCCCTTGTTTCAAGCTGCCCATTGTTTCTTCGGTAGCCGAAGCAGCTTGCGGTGCTTTGAACGTCGGCGTGACTTTGGACAAGACTTCCACGTTCCGATTTCAGTAATGGTCGACGGCGTTCAGCAGCCTTGAGATCTTGGGCCGGATGCATGAGTCTCGGCCTCACTCTGAAAGCTAGCCCGAAACGAGCGTCTGTGGTGAATTTTGAGAATCATAGTCTCTTCATGATTCTTCCCTGGTCGCACGTGCTTTATCCGGGAGCGGCGCATTCGTCCAATGCAGCCATGATGCTGTCGTAATCCGACCTCGTACCTGCTTGGAAAGCTCCAGGACGATCGAATCTTTCATCAATGTCCATCTCGTCATTTGCAACTCCATTCTTGTCACCATTGACAATCCCGTTGGCAATATGTCCATTCCCGAACGCTAGTCCATTGGGAGTAGGTTTCCGCACCAGATCCGGGTAATGGCTGAGCATGACCCTTTCGCCCAAAAATCGCTCATGCTTGAGATAGTGATCTTGCAAGCCTACGCCGAGCCGTAGATCTTGCATGTTCAGTGGGTTCGTCTTTGCCATCATTTCCATTTCTACTGGAAGCAGACCTCCGGCATTCCTCTGCAGCACACCGCGATCCGCGTCGTCCTCTTCTTTCCTGAGCTGCTTCTTGAATTTGTGAGTCTGAATGCCGTCTTTCCCAGCTGCGTTGCTCCTCGCATGTCCAAGTAAAGCCCCAAGTACACCTTTCATGAAGACCTCTGCGGCTTGCTCGACCAACTCCGCGCAGGGTTGCACTTGTCCTTGCTGCACGCCACCTGTGAGTCCTTCCCTGTAACAGATAGGCTCGATGCGATTTTGCATGTCCGCTTGCGCTGGAAACTCCAATTGCTCAGCTGCAAGAGGTTGCGCATACAACCTATGTATCTCAACCTCAAAATTATTTCTGGCCAATCCACTCGCTCCTCCGCCACTTGGCCCTGCTCCTGTCGCACTTTGCGGTTCCGCTTGCGTAGAAAGTGTTTGTGCTCCGCTTGGCCTGATTGTGAGCTCCGTGCTGTAGTCCAAGGCCTCGCGAAACCCGTCATTGACAGCTTTACTTGGATCCTTCAACCCTTTGATGCGCGCACGATCTCTTGGACCAATCGTCATGATCTCTTTCTTGAGTCTTTCTTCCGCCTTATCGTTTGCGCCTGAGCCTCCTGCCGCATTCTTGCTCGTGCTGGTGGGCTTGTCTGTTGCGACAACCCACGGTGCGACTTCTGTGGGCGGAGGATCCCGTAAAGTGTTGGCATATATGGCTGTGAGGAGCTGATTGTGCAGGATCAAGATCGAGGGAGGACCTTTGCTCGAGTCGCCAGAGGTAGTTGTACTCGGCGCAGAGGAGAGTATGGGTTGGAGGACCCATGACAGCTCGGCTTGGTTAATACAGCCGCGCACGAACTCGCTGAAGGCAGTCTTGTACTCGGCCCAGTTGTCGCCCAGCGCGCTCTTTAATTGCGTATAGATTGGCTCAACATTGATGCGCTCAACCTGCGCCCTGCCCATAGCAGATGCAGCACCTGCGACGCCATTCTTTGCGACCAGGCCGACCGGTTGCGCCTTGGTGAGGTTTGGCGAGATGGTCGATAAAGAGAGGTCGGCCGGATCCATGTTGGCGGTATGAGTGAGTAGCCTTGAATTGGCGCTGGCGCAAGGCGTTCGTATTATCGCATCGTTCGCGTGTTGTATATGCGCGTGTGATGGCGCAGCGAGTTAGAACTACTGGTTGGGGGCTGGAGTGAGGTCTGAAAGCTTGTCGCAAAGCGGCGCAAATAGAGAAACAAAGTATTGCTATGCTGATAGAGTGAATACTACATGGAACAAGGCAGAAGACCAGAAAATCCGTGACTGTCAACCGGTAATGGCTTCATATGCATTGTATGCGTGTGGAGGACGTGGAGTCGTAGCCGTCAATTGACATCGGCTGTTACTTCCCGAAACGCCGCCCACCAGCCAGACAAGGTATCAAAAGCGCATGGATATTACTATATATGCTCTCGCAAAAGTACGATTTCTACTATTACCTGTGACCACTATATGGCTTATTACACGGGCATACACACATTTGTAAAATTTATTGCGAGGACGTCATGGTTCTGAGAGAGATCAAGCAAGTCCGACCAACGCTGGTCAAAAGTTATAGGCAATCGATGATATTGTGCACGGCAGTGCTGTTGTCTTCAAGTATCTACCCAATACAAGGCCTTTCTGGCCAGGTGAAAGTAGCAAGTAGGTATAGTAAAAATTGGCGTGGCGCCGTCGGCCGCTCTGATTCCACAAGAGCGCCACCTTGTAAACCCATCTTCGCGTTGAAATATGCTCATTCCGTCTCCATTCTGACTCCTCGCTTGGTCTTAAGATGCCAAGTTGTGATACGGACGCCCTCCCAGTTCCACTAGAGGATTTTCCTGTCCTCTATCCTTGGTCGCTAAAACGCTAAATCAAAATGTTGTTGCAAATTGGACATGTGAAACCGATAGTGTAGCCAGTGATGACCGTTGAGGTCAAGTCCAGTCCCAAAGACGCGCTCCCAGTTTAGAGGTCGAGACTTAATCGACTTCTTCAATCCTACTTTTACTGTCGACCGAATCGTCATCAACCGGGTCAATGTCCGGCCAGTCAACCCACTGCCAGTGTTCTGAATGGTCGATGGGCTCAACACGCATATTACCTCCTTCGTCTATTCCTTCTTCCGGATGAACCATTACCTTCGCGCCAACTGCAGCGCTTTGCACGCGAGAAGATACTGGCAGCTGATACTTCAGCACGCCCCGAACGATGAGCTCGAACGGATATTGGATGACCTCCTCCCAGCGCGCACTACCGCCAGATTCCGTCTTGTTGCCTGGCTTTGTCAGGCGCAATTGACCTGTCGACACGTGCTCGTGCTGCTTGATCGGCGACGCCTCGAAGGTGAGCGCCTGATCAAAGCGGAAGACCCTACCGAGAAGCATCGTCTGCGCGTCCTTTTCCAGGTCGGGATCCGAGTCTTTGTCGCCGCCTGGTGGCTTCCAGTGGCCATCGGGATCTTGTGATGGATTGTTTGGGTCACCAGCCTTATCACCCAATGAGCGAAGCCCACGTCGGCCGCGTCTCCTTGGCGTAATGCTCTCATCGGTTTCTGTCTGGTTCTCGCGACCGTTACCCACGTGTTTACTTTTGGCGAACACATTGACATCAATGTCGCTGACCGAGATACCGAGTGTGTTGGGGTTGACTGCGCCGACGAGGATGTCAAGCATGAGCTCCTCCTCGCTCGCCAAGACATTCTGAATCTTGTGAATTTTGACGTCGTACAAGGGCCGATTGGATGCAAAGACGAAGCAGATGGCTGACACAATCACCAGTATGACGACAAGGGTCGTTAGCAGGCAGGCACCAAGCCTGCCACTACAGCACCAGCGACCACGGGTGTTACCATCATCGTAATCGTCCATGGAATTTTGGCTGATGCTACCAGCGAAGCGATGGTGGTGCATATACCGCCGTGGGGTCCTCACGGTACCGACAAGCGGCGTCCGTTCATCGTCGGCATTCTGTTCGGCATCGAAGTCGTAGGGTTCTTGTTTCTTGGATCCAGAGAGGAAGCTCCGAGGCTGAAAGTGCATGTTCTGCGGACTTCTTGGGGAAGTGGGTCGCGTACGACCATGATTCAGATGACTGTTGCGCAGCTTTGTTGCTTGCGTGAAAGGAGAGTCTTGCTGATCGTACGAAGCTGAGTGGTGTGCACCTCTACCGTGTCGGCCAAAGTGCCTCGGGGTGTTGGATCTGATTGTGCCATTATTGCTGTCGGGCGTGTCCGGATCAAGAGCATTGTAGGGGTTGGTCGAAAATTTCATGCTTCGTTTGCCGCCCACGCGCCTCTCTTCAAAGGGGTCGCCATACGGACGAATGCGCTGCTGGTCGGCGATGCTATGCGATGAAGTGACGCTTGGCGTTCTTGAGTGATGTCGCTGCCGTCGTTGCGGCTCTGGTGGATTCGACTCGTAAACGAACGTCTCGTCGGAGTCGGATGTATTCGCGTCTTCTACCGCATTGGCCACTCTTGCCTCGAAGATGTCGGCTTTGGAAGTGGCTTTGCGCAAATATTTGTTAGGTCGTGGTCGAGGTATGATTGATGAAACAGTTCGCCTAATAGAAGAAGCAGAAAACAACGCATCGCTTGCAGAACTGCCCTCCTCCTCGAAAGAAGACGAAGACCAGGCAATAGGCGCCATTGATGAGAACGCCCTGCGAAGTCCAGGGAAGTAGTTGCGCGACGTTCTCGTGGGTGTGCCTATCAAGGTCTGCCGCCCATCTCGCGTCATCGAACGGTGAAGCGCTTCATAAGCAGGCCCAAGCAGACAGCGATCGTTGCGTTGATGATGAGGAGAATGAAATGTATAATACATACCTGTGCCTTGCGTCACGCTCCTCGTCTTGCGATCAGCCTTTTTGCGCTCCTTCTTTGGCCGTATAGTCTCGTTGCTGGGTTTCAGCCTTATAGCACCACTGTCTGAAGCACGGAGATTTGAAGAGTCTCGAGCGGGAGCGAGTCCAGATTGCGGAATCGATGCCACGGTCTCGGTCTCCACTGTCATGTTCTGCTTGCCAGCTTCTTGGCGGGCTTTGGCAGATGCAATGGGGTAGCTGCCTTTGCCAGAAACACTCGTTGTTTGAGATCTTTTCGCTTGCGAGTTGACTGCGCCTTGTGACTCGCGACGGCCCCGAGGCTTGCTGCTATCGCTCTTATTTCCTGCACTTTCGCTACCACTTTCGCCAGGCGTCTCTCGTTCTACCTTCATGTCGCCCTTGACCGGCGATGGTTTGGCGTCATCCTCGGTCACTTTTGTGAGCGGCTTGAGGTCTGCGGCGGCCTGTAGGGCAGCAGGACTTGGTTCCTGAGCATCAGTGCTATTCTCCTGCACTGTCTCCAGCATCGACTTCCCACTCGGTCCTCGAGTGGATGCCTTGGGAGGTGGTGGTGCTTGCAATTGCACTTCAGGCCTTCGAGCATCCGCTGCTGGCTGACCTGGTGGCATTGCTGAGCCCGATTGAGGTGTCGCGCTCAGTACCTGAATGCTAGGTGCTTCGGGCTTCTTGGCGGCAACGGCTGATCCACGCCTGGAACTTGGTCCAGATGGTGGGGGTGACTTGAGACGTGGTGACATTGGCCATTGTGGTGTGTTGTCGCCCGTGCCTGGCGCCGCTTTGGGTGCTTGTCTGGCAGGTAGCTTTGAGACTGCTTCCGACAATGTGGGGCCCTTTTGCGACAGGTGGGGAACGCTCGAGGCGGATAATGCTCGTTGTATAGCCGCTGCGGACGGCTGCGTTGACAAGGCAGCAGAGAGTTGCTGCGGCTTGTCTTGTCGTATGGGTGAGGCATTCCGAGAGGATCTTGGGCTTTGTGCAGCGGGAGAAGCAGCAATTGGCGTGAGGTTACTGCTCGAGGACTTCCGCAGTGTGGGTATCCGTTCGGCCGAATTCAGTGATGTGTTTTTCGTCTGCGGTATCGATGGCTTTCGCGCTGTTGCTGTTGCTGGCGTCGGTGTACTCGCTCCACTGCTCCCATTCGCACTTCCACCAGCACTGGGCGGCTCGGGTGTCTCTGCCTGGGCGGTGATGGAGCGGGACTGTGCTCCGCTATCTTTGTTCGGCATTGCGACTTCGATGTACTGTTCCAACTTCCCAAGACCAAAGCAGCGTCGGTCCCATCATGTCAGAATATGGTGGCGTGTCGCGTCACGACGACTCCATGTTCGCGCAGAAATCGACGTGGACAAAAAGCTAGTTTGGGGAGGCGGGTATGGATCAGGATTGGTGGTGTAGCGCGAGTCGGAGCAGTTCGCGCGAGTGATTGGGTAGAGCGAGGGTGCGGTGCGGTGCGGTGCAGTGCGCAAGGTGTGAGGAGTGAGGTATGGGGAGTAGTGAGGTGTAAATAAAGTATGAGTGGAATGGATGGCCGGATGGAAGCAAAGGCAGCGCGCAGGCCAGGCCAGGCCAGGCCAGGGAAGCGATGCGATGCGATGCGGAAGCAGAGTCTGTCAGTCTCAGAGTGTCAGACTCGCGATGCGCAAACAGTACACGACACGTCGCCGGGGCTGCAAGGCTGTTCGAACACCGAAGCAGCGGGAGCAGTGGACGCATGCAATGTGCCGCCGTTCTACAACGTAAGGCCTGCGTATGTGGCGCAGAAAATAGGAACGAGAATCGCTCGGCCTCGGACCTGACGAGCATTATGTGCTGCCTCACACTACCAAGCCTGTGAGAGCCAAGCCTGCGAAGCCACAGGTAACAACAGATGGGATAGGATAGGATGGGATGGGAACATTGGAAGACTCCTCACGCCACGCCCGGCCCGCATCAATACTGCGAGTCTATAACCGCATGAACGGCACGCTTCTTAGAAGAGTGTCGCCGTCACCATTCTGTTCACCGCTCCGCCGGAAGCAAGGCCTGCCCGCTGTCACTCACTCACTCACTACTACTCACTCACTCCACGTCACATGGTGTCTGAACAGACCCTCGCTTAGCGCCATACGCATACTACTGCATACATGTACGCATCACGCTGCCTCGCGCGACGTGACATGCTCTCACTCGCCAGCAAAAGAAAACGCCACACAATCCCCTCACTAGCCTCAGCGGCTGCTGACTCGGCACCTCGCGCGTGGGAAGTAGTGGCCATCTGCCGCTGAACTGATCTTCCGTGGTGACCCGTTCTGGCTCGGCACACGAGCAGAGTCGCATCCACATCGACCTATGCACTGCTCAAGGCCACCTCCATCGGCACCCTCTGTCATTTTCAACCCATGAATCCTTGAAAACCCGTGTGTCTTGCCTGCGAGCCGCACAACAACGTGGCCCAAACACCTCGGCCAGACCCTCGTGAGACTGTGCCTCCGACGGCGCAGTCACACCAATGACAAAGCGTGGACACAATATCTACGATACCATTCCTCCCTGCACGTATGTAGTGGTCTAAGCGAAAGGGGGGAAAAAAGAAAAAATCACGTAGTAGGAAGAGGAGGAATAAAACAGGTTTTCTAACAGTCAAATTCCTAGGATTCTGTAGGCTGCAGGATAACCCCATCCTCATCCTCATCTGACCTGAGAGCAGGTATTTGCAACCATCGTACAAAGCCATTGACCTCATGTCATTCACGCGACCTCCTGACCTCGCATATGTACACAGCGTTCTGCAATCGAGAAGCAAGGAGAGGGTTTGTACATACGAACAAACGGCCGCTGGTTACACGAACCTGGTCAAGTCTGAAACAGGTCAAGTACCGTACAGGCAGGTGCTGCCTGAGGGGAGTACAGTACAGAATTTGGTGCTTGTCTGCCGTTCTTCCTGCCTGCCGTTCTTCCTGCCTGTATTCGATCCAATACTTTTATTCTGGCACGTGTTTTCTTTTTCTTTCATCAGGATTTGTATGATAAGCGCATCTTTAGACCAATCCCTGGCAACTCGGATAACGTGTAAACAACGCGACGTCAAACGCATGCTCGCGCTGACTGATCCA